CTCCTTGCAGATGAGGCTGGATCCCCTCTGGACTTTAACAAGCCTGTTAAGTTTGAAAAGAGTACTAAACATTATCTTTGTTTGTTTGTTAGACAGCCAAACAGTTCCCTTATAATGAATATCATCATATCTATAAGGATGGGGACCCCACACAAAGACTTAAAATAAACTAAATGTTAAAAGATTATTTTGTAATGTAAATATATATTTGTCATCTGGTCAGGAACTTTAGTATGTTGTGAAATTTTGTTGAATAAAATTTAACATTTGATTTTGCGGTGTTTTGAATTTGATAACTTCTCAAATATACCAGTATTAGATCTGGTCCCATCGCGGCTCATTTTCGATTAATCGTTATTATTGTCTCCCAACAATCGAGTCAGTATTTACGTTTGAAATTATTGTTTACTCAAGGTTATATATAATAGATTGCGCACACAGATTTCACACAAGTACACAGGTAAAAATCTCACATCTTGTAGCAAGTCTGCCAACAAACCATCAACAAGTTGTGTTTGCACTGCTTGTCCCAAGTTGTCAACAAGTTTGGAACAAGCTGTTAACAACTTGTAACAACCTTGTTGATATTATCAGACTTGTTGCAAGGTTGTTCCAACAAGTCCGATACAGTTATGATATAACAATATTGTTACAAACTTGTGTCGTCAACCTTGTAACATTCCTGTTATATCATGACTGTATCAGAGTTGTTAGAACAACCTTGTAACATTCTTGTTATATCATGACTGTATCAGACTTGTTAGAACAACATTTTAACAAGTCTGATAATGCCATCAAGCTTGTTATACAAGTTGTTAACAGCTTGTTCCAAACTTGTTGCAACAACTGCGAATAAGCAGTGAGAACACAACTTGTCGACAGCTTGTGAACAGATTTGTAACAACTTGTGCGTTTTTACGTGTGAACATGTGTTCGCAACAGGCTTGTACACACGTAAAAACGCACAAGTTGTAACAAGTCTGCCAACAAGCCGTCAACAAGATGTATTCGCACTGCTTGTCACAAGTTATCAACAGGCTTGGAACAACTTGTTGACAACTTGTAACAACCTTGTCGAAATTATCAGACTTGTTGCAAGGTTGTTCCGACAAAGTCCGTTGCATGCTTGATATAACAAGATTGTTAAACCTTGTGTTGACAACCTTGTAACATTCTTGTCATGTAACATTCTTGTCATATGGCTGTAACAAACTTGTTGGCACAGTATTGTAACAAGCTAAGGCTGATAATGCCATCAAGCTTGTTACAAGTTGTTAACAGCTTGTTCCAAACTTGTTACAACAACTGGGAACAAGCAGTGCGAACACAACTTGTCGACAGCTTGTGAACAGACTTGTAACAACTTGTGTACAGACTTGTTACAAGCTGTGCGTTTTTACGCGTGTAATAGCAAGCTTGTCACCAAGTTGTAACAATGGTGTTACTTTATCAAGTTGCTACAAGGTTGTCACTCACAACTTGTTGACAAATTGTCGCATTGCAGGACGGTAACAAGTTGTTGGAACAACTTGTAACAAGTCTGTTGAGCTCAGCAACCTTGTAGCAAGTTGTCAACAAGCTGGGAACAAGCAGTGCGAACACATCCTGTTGACAAGTTGTTGGAACAGCATTGCTACAAGTCTGCTGCAGGTTTGTTACAACTTGTGCGTTTTTACGCGCGTAGACAACTGACAAGACAATGACGATGTTTAAAAATCTCACATCTTGTAGCAAGTCTGCCAACAAGCCGTCAACAAGTTGTGTTCATACTGCTTGTCCCACGTTGTCAACAAGTTTGGAACAAGCTGTTCCCAACTTGTAACAACCTTGTTGATATTATCAGACTTGTTGCAAGGTTGTTCCAACAAGTCCGATACAGTCATGATATACACCCGTAAAAATCTCACAACTTGTCATCAAGATGTGTTCGCAACAGGCTTGTAGCAAGCTTGTCAACAGGTTGTGACAATGCTGTTATTTTATCAAGTTGCTACAAGCTTGTCACTCACAACTTGTTGACAAATTGTTGAATTGCAAGACGATAACAAGTTGTTGGAACAACTTGTAACAAGTCTGTTGAGTTCAACAACCTTGTAGCAAGTTGCCAACAAGCCGTTGACAACTTGTCAACAAGCTTGGAACAAGCAGTGCGAATACATCCTGTTGACAAGTTGTTGGAACGGCATTGCTACAACCCTGCTGCAGGTTTGTTACAACTTGTGCGTTTTTACGTGTGTACACGAGTAAAAAGGCACAGCTTGTTACAGGTCTGCCAACAAGTTGTTTCAAGTCTGTTCACAAGCTGTCGACAAGTTGTGTTCGCACTGCTTGTTCCCAGTTGTTGTAACAAGTTTGGAACAAGCTGTTAACAACTTGTAACAAGCTTGATGGCGTTATCAGCCTTGTTACAAGACTGTGCTAATAGGTTTGTGACAGCCATGATATAACAAGGATGTAACAATCTTGTTATATCAAGCATGTAACGGACTTGTCAGAACAATCTTGCAACAAGTCTGATAATTTCGACAAGGTTGTTACAAGTTGTAAACAAGTTGTTCCAAACCTGTTAACAACTTGTGACAAGCAGTGTGAATACATCTTGCTGACGGCTTGTTGGCACTTAGCAGACTTGTTACAAGATGTGAGATCTTTGCGTGTGTAACGATATTGTTACAATCTTGTGTCGTCAACCTAATAACATTCATGTTATATCATGACTGTATCAGACTTGTTAGAACAACATTGTAACAAGTCTCATAATACCATCAAGCTTGTTACAAATTGTTGACAGCTTGTTCCAAACTTGTTACAACAACGTACTGGGAGCAAGCAGTGCGAACACAATTTGTCGACAGCTTGTAAACAGATTTGTAACAACTTGTGCGTTTTTGCGTGTGAACATGTGTTCGCAACAGGCTTGTAGCAAGCTTGTCAACAAGATGTAACAACGATGTTATTTTATCAAGTTGCTAACAACTTGTAACAAGCTTGAATGCTTGATGGCATTATCAGACTTGTAGCAAAGTTGTTCTAGCAAGTCTGATAAAGACATAAAGTCATGATATAACCATAATGTTACAAGGTTGTTCTAACAAGTCTGATACAATCATGATATAACAAGAATGTTACAAGGTTGTTCTAACAAGTCTGACACAGTCATGAAATAACCATAATGTTACAAGGTTGTTCTAACAAGTCTGATACAATCATGATATAACAAGAATGTTACAAGGTTGTTCTGACAAGTCTGATACAGTCATGATATAACAAGAATGTTACAAGGTTGTTCTAACAAGTCTGATACAGTCATGATATATCAAGAATGTTACAAGGTTGTTTTAATAAGTCTGATACAGTCATGATATAACAAGGATGTTACAACGTTGTTCTAACAAGTCTGATACTGTTATGATATGACAAGAATGTTACAAGGTTGTTCTAACAAGTCTGATACAGTCATGATATAACAAGAATGTTGCAAGGTTGTTCTAACAAGTCTGATACAGTCATGATATAACAAGAATGTTACAAAGTTGTTCTAACAAGTCTGATACAGTCATGATATAACAAGAATGTTACATGGTTGTTCTAACAAGTCTGATACAGTCATCATGATATGACAAGAAATTTACAACGTCGATGACACAAGGTTGTAACAATATTGTTATATCATGACTGTATCGGACTTTTTGGAACAACCTTGCAACAAGTCTGATAATATCAACAAGGTTGTTACAAGTTGTTAACAGCTTATTCCAAACTTGTTGGCAACTTGGAACAAGCAGTGCGAACACAACTTGTTGACGGCAGACTTTTACGCCTGTGGACAACTACACACGCAATTGCGCAAAAGTCTTGTAACAAATTTGTCAACAAGCCGTCAACAAGTTGTGTTCGCACTGCTTGTCATAAGTTCTCAACAAGTTTGGAATAAGCTGTTAAGAATTTGTAACAACCTTGTTGATATTATCAGGCTTGTTACAAGGTTGTTCCAACAATTCTGATACAGTCATGATATAACAATATTGTTACAACCTTGTGTTGACAACTTTGTAACATTCTTGTTATATCATGACTGT